TCTGAGTGAGGTATAAGTATTTTATTTTTATTTTCTTGTCTTATTTGCATTTTTTTTCCTGCTTGGGTTAAATTCATATCTACTCCCATTATACATCCGGGACGACCCTTAGTTCGTTAAAGTCGCAAAAAATCAATATCTTCCTGGATCTTCATTAGACTGATTACATTAGCATGAGCTATATCAAAAAATTCTTCGATTTGGTCTACAAAATTTTGTTCTCCTTTCTTGTATAAGTCGCTAGTCCTGGTTTTATTTTTCTCTAAGTTTCTTAGTTCATCGTACAACTTTTTAATTTTCTTATAATAGTGGTTGGATCTTGCGTAGGTATTCGAGCTTTTTTCTAGTAAATTAGACACTTGTCAACAACAAGCGCCGCACTTTCATGCAAATTCAATTTTACAACTCTTAAATTATAATATAATACACTCAAAACATTTTTAACTGAAGGTAAATTACTTCCAGTAATTTGATAATTCATTGCTCCTACTAAATACACTTGGTTACGTGGTATATTTAAATAAAATAAAATTTCAAAAAAACTGTATCACTAAACTATTATTTTAACAAATCTTAAAACTTGACACAATAATAAGCAAAAAACTAAATGACAAGAAAATATCTGATATTATTCCATGAAAAATGATTATTGGAAAGATAACTTTTATCGTTACCTATTATTACACAAACAACGATAATGCCACAACTCTTATCTTCTATGGATAATCACAGTAAATTCCGCACGTTCAAAATAATGAGTATAGCATTTAGAACAGTACGGGTAAACTGATATTTGATTTTATGCGCCACAAATTCTAATACATCGATATATAATCCACTAACGTGAAATATAATATGAGTTTTTTTAGGAAGTATTACTAAAACCAATTTTAAAGGAAAAATTTGATGTAACTTCAACCACTCAGTAAAAATACTAAAATATTTAAAAAAATATATTTATATTAAATTTTGAATATTTTTTATGTTTAGTTATTTTTCTCAAAATATAATGAATTTATGAAAAATATTGTAATTACTTTTTTTGTAGGCAATATTAAGTTTTATAATTAATATTCTATACATTTTAGCGCTAAGTGTAATAGTTGTCGAGTTAAACACAAAAAAAGCAAAAACTACCCTCAACCCTAATGCGGCATCAGAAGGGGTTGAATAAAAATTTCCAAATTTTACCTACATTCTTTTTAATAGTATTTACCCAAACTAGAGGGTACTGTGTAAAAAATGTTAAAAATAAATTTCTTCTTATATGATTAAGGACCACCCTAAAATTTATATATTTGTAATTTTTGCAATATTCATTAAAATAGTTGTTCTATTTCAATCTTGAATTTTAAGAAATTGGTTGATTATTCTTAAAGCAAAATTAACTCCTATTTCTATTATTATTCCTAATTAGTAGTTGCTTTATAAGTATAATTTATGAATAAATATCTATTAAAGCAATTCAACGTAGTATGAAATTGATATTTAATAATTTAGCATTGTAATTTTTACGGAGAAATTATAAAAAATTATAAAGTAGTTATTACTTTTATGGCAAAAGTGTAAAATAAAAAATTAAAAAATTTACCCTGAAGAAGTCACAATTTTCGACTGGTGATTTGGTATATAATAAGGCACTTTGTTCATGCATAAGTGTACTTTTCTTCTTCTTTTTCTAAAGGCTAAGCCTTGTCATAGTTTTTTATATCCTGGGGAAATTAAGTGCAGTGGTTTCCCGTTGCCTTGCTGCTCTGGTCCAAAACCACTTCAATGACCAGAAATTACTGACCAGCATGGGAGCACGTTTCTCGATAGCTCGACCTTCCATTCAGCAAGTTTGAACCATGCCCCAGGGGGATTTGCAGCAGCATCCAGATCTGTGGGCCACTTTTGTGCATGGTTGGCAAACATGCCTTACAGGCATCCCAACGCCACCGCTTGCACCGATTCCACCAGCAATCCGGCCACCTTTTCATCCGCATACATGTCCCCGGTGCCCCGGCAGCAACACAAGCAGACGTTCAAGTTGCCTGTGATCGCCAAAGCTTCACCACCAGCAATGCCTCCTTCTGGCAGCATAAAGTCGGCCACCAGCTCCACGTTGTCAGTCCAATCGTCCACTGGGCTGACATATAAGGAGAAGAAGAAGCAGCGTATGGTGGAGTACCGCAAGGAAAATAGGAAGGAGCTGCAACGCCTAGCGAAGGAATTGAGAGCCCAGTCTGTCCCCTCTTCCCAGCAACACAGGTTGGAAAAGAAGTCTGGAATATGGATAACGTCACCTACCCCAATGCCGAGATTCAAACCACCATCGTGATGGAAGACATCCTGATAGATGTAGAAGACGCGACAGAGGGAGTAGTAGTGCCATCTTTCGACTATTTCATTGAGGACATTGAGACTTTCTTCAATCTAACACCACTATCTGCTCCCTAGACCACTCTTTACTGTTTTCTTCCCAATCCTATCTCCCCTGAGTGTGTCACCCGCTATTATTAGAGAAAGGTGAACATCTCAGGAAGCGCGTTTTCCCGAAAGAGACTTAGCGATACTATAAAGGAGGATATAGAGGAAGTGATAAAAAAAAATTATCAACTGATGATAGTTCGACCGCTGTACAAATTAGTGAAGGAGAGTTTACACGGCCCGTAATAGCGCATTATTCATTTACTATGAATTAGCACGTTAGCCAATCGAAATTATCAGCTGTCCACCGTTGCACTCGTTGTGTTGACGATAACACTAGGTTGTCTTATCCGGCGGTCGTTAAATAGGACAGATCAGGTGATGCAGCATTGCGAGACACGTTGGCGACTATGTAAGATAGTTCACCTTTAACTTACATCCCCGCACGTGACGTCGAGTCATATATTCAATATTCAATATGAATTTTAATTGTTCATCGTATTTTCATGTACCTTGTAGTTTTAGACTTTATTGTTAAATTTCAAAGTAAATAAACTCCCTAGTTATTTTTATCACGGTGTTACGTATATTATTATAAACATTTAAAAATCGTATCACCTATCAGACCTAAATAAACAATAAATACTTTAAAAACAATAAAAATGAATGATTTTAATTGTCTATATAGAGAATATGTGCTAAGTAACTTTTTAATTGATAAAGTAGAAATTTTTTCAATTTTTAAGGGTAATATCTTTAATTAGATAATAGTTGTGTTCATTTGATGTATCGTTAAAAAAAGTTGGTCAAGTGAGAGCTGAGAAAATAAATGAGAGCCACAAAAAAAATTACATATTTTTTTTATTATCTTTGATGTCTGTTTTCACCATGAAAACAAAGTTAAGTTCGACTTTTTTTTTCAATACATAAGCTTCAATTTAAGATATATATAAAAGTGTCAGTATTTCCGGAACACTTTCAAAAATTAATTTGAAAAATACTACTTTCTATATGCATTTTTAAGTATTTAACCCATTCTATATGAAGGGAATTGTTCCGATTTAAAAAAAAATATACAAAATGATAGGTAAATATGTCACGTATTTATAAAAAAAATTGCATTGACTTTATCATTTTTAAAAATGTTATGGTAGTTTTAAGTAAAAAAAATTGAAAAAATGTCGAAAATTAGCATTTTTAAATTTGTAATTTTTTTGGAGATTTCCCTTATTTACGGCAAACGAGGGAAATAATTTCAATTTTTGAGGGTAATGTCTTTGACTAGATACAATTTGTGATATTTAGACGTATCGTTGACTGAAATCTGTCCAGTGAGAGCTGAAATAAAGTGGTAACAGATACAAAAAAAAAAAATAAAAAATAAAAAAAAACACAACATAGTAAAATTAGTACCTTCTCAGCTTTGCATCGAAGCTAATATTCCATTAACGTGTAGCTAAGGTTTTTTTACTTGTGTATGAAAGAATTTTATTTAAAAGCCTAAGAATGGATGTCAATTTTACAAATATTATTAATAACGACCCCGTAAACATGTACAAAAATATTATCATATCATATCACACTAATTGTAAGTGGATAACTGAATATTTTACTAAATTCTCGCTAGAAGCGCTAAATATAAAACTCACACGAATATTTTCGGTTTTACTTGATTTCACAAAATACGTTTCATTGAGTAACCTGTTTTATCTATATTTGTGATTATATACCAACGAGTGATTTGGTCATATAATCGTCCGGAGTGCTAATATGTAGTGAGTTTTAATGTTAATTTGATAAGATACTTTTCTACTGCAGACTACTGTACTAATGTATAGACCATTGTGTAACCATTCTATCTATAATCGTGCTTCTTGTTATTTAATAATTATTATCAACCGAATTAAAAATAAAATGGAAATTTGATATGATATATATATATCAAATATTCGTCAACTTACTCGAGTCTCTCCTACATTTTATCAGATAATAATAATAAAAATATATCATAATAAAAAATTTGGTACCTCTTTTTCTGCATTAAAACCAAAAGTATTCATTAATATTCATTATTAGAAATCAAAAATTTCATACTGATTATCGAAACTAAAATTTAAAAATTATGATTCAGAAAAATATAACTTATCAAAAATCATAAAATTGATCAACTAAATTAAAATCTTCGTATAGAAATTGAATTATAGTTATCTAAATCAAAGTTAGAATAAAAATTATATAAAATGTTATCATATAGAAATGGAATTTTTTATGAAAAAGGTCACAAGTCATTTTTTATGGTTTTTCAGAAGACACAAATATATGTATATAACTAACCAAATACAAATAGCAATTCATTGATAACAAAATTACATTTGAAAATGACGATAACATGAGTAGATCGAACGTAAAAATGTAAACAATTTTCACAGGTAATAAAAAAATGTCCACAATTGACTTATGCCCTTTGCCGTAACAAAGGTCTATTTTTTAAGCAGTGTGTGTACTTTATTTATAGATAAAAATTATCAATAATTATAATATTATAACCTAAATTTTACAATTATATTACTTAGATATTACGTGATATTTTGAAATTGTACCTGTGTTCGCTCAATTAGTAAAATTAAAATATTTTTCCACATTTAATTCTGATAAGTTCTAGTGATAATTATTATATTATGAAATAATTTTTAATCGCGCGCTTGCTATTTTAAATTACTAAATTGTAAACTTTTTAAATTAGTTTGTTTTATAAGTTGTTGAAGCTATTCGAATCTTTAAAGTGTAAGTATTAAATTTTTACTAATAATAAGCAGCTTTTTAATAATGTATACATTTTGTATATTTATTTGTAATTAAGATAATTTTTACTATTGCAAAAATCTGTTAAATTTTCATAAAAACTTATTTATATATATACATATACGTACATTTTACATCGAAGTAACCTCATACACCTGTGGGCTAATTTATTTTTATGTACCAATTTAAATAAGGGATAATCAGTGTGGTGCATGTAGTTGTAAAACTACAAGGTTGATAAGAATACTGCAGTATTTTTATGTTTTAAATAAAACCTCCAAAAATTAATATTTATTATACGATAGAAATATTTTTTAGGCTTAAAATTATTTAAAAGGCCCTTAAAGATTATTGTTGTTGAACTAATAGTGGATTCATATGAGAAAACTTACATAGGCGCCTCACAAAGAGTAAAAGTCATATAGTCTTAGGTATTAAAAAATCTCGTAGAAAATATAACTCATTATAAATTTATTTACGCTTAGGCTTTATGTCGGATTTAAAAAATATATATAATCGATAGAAAAGTCTATAGTTTTATTTATAAAAACCCAGCACAGTGGGGTCGCGGCATAGTGGGGATGTTGCATAGTTGGGTCCAGTATAGATTTAATCTGACAGTGATTAAAATCACTATCATAAGAAACGCTTCGATGCAAATCAGTAGATAGTGTTTAATTCTAAGAAATTGGTGGATAATTACAAAAGCTACATTATCTGCTAGTTTCTTATTAATACCCTGATTAAGATAAAGTATGTCGAATGAAAAAGGGATTATTAAAAAATATTATTTCTCATAAAAAAATTGTGTTGATTCGTACACTTTTCAATGAGTTATAGCATTATAAAGTTAAAAATGTAACCAACCCAACCCAACATCAACTCCTATTTCCTTAATTATATCCAGATTAGTAATTATTTTAATTATATATTATATAATTTTTATAATTAATTATTTTCAAATTATTATTGATTTTTAATATGTTAAAAGTAATCATTTTGAACCTACTTCTTTTTGTTCTTTAAAGTGAAAGTTTTAATAAAAAAAAAATGAATTTATTACCATAACTTTTAACTCAACTTGCAAGTTTGAAATA